AAGTGTTGGGCTGGGAACCCTGAGGTTGGTGGTTTGAAGCCCCCAGCTACTGGACAGGAGAAAGGCAGTTGGGCCACAGTGAGCTGAGATTGACGCAATGGCAGGAGATGGCCGGGTAGATAGATATGCCCGACACTGGGTTCTTTAGAGAAGCAAACCAGTGAGACAGGCATGTGTGCACACACATACACACCTGGAGAACTTCATTACAAGGAAATGGTTTGCAGAGTTGTGGAGGTGGGCAGATCTAAGTCCAGGAGATCCCAAGTGAGTGGGTCATATTTTGAATTAGAGGCATCTCCTGATTTGTGTATCTGTGAGGGCTGGTGAACCCAAGATCAGCAGGAAGACCATAGGCTAGTGGCTGCAGGGGCAGATGAGTCCAAGGTTGGCCGGTCAGGCTTGTGACTGCAGAGGTGAATCCAAGGTCAACACATAGCAAGTCACATGGCAGACTTCTGACAACTCCCAGAACCGGCGGTCAACATGGCAGCCATGGCTCCCAGGATCCGCAGGCCACTGGTTCAAATCCTTAGAACCATGGATAGGTCAGCCACCGTGAGCCAGGGTTGATGCAGTGGGGTAGGATTCTGGCGGGGCTTGCTCCAAGTTTCACAAAAGCTTGTTGACTCCCGAGTCAAGGCTGTGATCTGATTCAGAAGGAGGGTTTGGAAATTCGCTGATACGGAATGAAATGTCACCTTGCACCTTGTTTGCACTTCTGGCTTTGAGGGGACTCAAGCCCCTGGTCACCCCCTGTGTTAGGCTGGGTTGTCTAGAGACACAAGCCAGTGACACTTATTTATGTACAAGAAAGAACTTATATCAAGAAACAACTTTACTTCAAGAAGGGCCCCAGCCCAGTTTGCTGAAGTCCGTGGGCCCAGTGCTAGCTGGCCGTCTTCAGACTCACATAGCTGGTGCCTAAAGGTGAGGTGGGAAGCAAGGGGTTCACAGGCTGGTGGGTGCACAGTCGTGTGGGTCCAAGGTCAGTGGAAGCATGGCACGCCCACCTTGACCTTCAACCTTGACCCTCCTGCTCATCATCCTCCCTCCCTCAACACAGTTCTGGGGGCCCCACCCTCCCGCAAGTGCTGCTCTTCCTCGGCTGCCTAGTGGGTCCCGTGATTAATGATCAGAATTCAGTAGAGGGTTTGATCCAGGGGAGGACTCTGCCAGTGGATTCTGGGCTGTCTCTGCCATCCATAGAGCCTTCAAACCAAACTTACTTCCATAGAGGCGAGGCCGACTCACAGCGACCCTAAGGACAGGGCAGCACCGCCCCTGTGGGTTTCCGAAACCGTAACTCTTTATGGGAGTAGAAGGCCTCATCTTTCTCCTGAGGAGAAGGCTGGTGGTTGCGAACTGCTGAACTTGCAGTACACAGCCCGGCATGTAACCACTACACCACTGGAAAATGAGCATCTGGCTCCTAAAGCTCATGCCATTGCGATGAATAACTACCGCTGACTGGCGGGAGGCCCCTTCTAGACAGGGATGCCTGGCCTGCTCAGATTGGTGCTTTCCCCCTCCCCCCCACTCCCACTCTCCAGGAGACGACCACTTTGGAAGGAGAGTCATCACCTTCAGCTGCTGCCGCCTGCCCCCTTCCCATGAGCTGAACCACAAGCGCCTGCTTGAGTAAGTGCCTGGGACCCCCTCCACCGGGCCACCCCATCCCCCCCACCCCAGACCTGGGCCACCTTCTTGGGCCCCTGCTCCCTCCAAGGACGGCAGGGCTGCCTTTGGGAACTTTGAATGAGTTGCATGGGGTGGGCTCTTTGCTCTGCAGAACTTTCTAGAACAGAGATATACGTGGCCTCTTCCCCAGCTCAGACC